TTAGGGGATAAGGTATGAAAACCCACGCCCGTAGGACCCCCAGGGCCCTAGCAAATCGAATAAGAGTCGTAGCTTCTAGGGGGGAAAGCAGAGAGGGGCGAACCCTTGCACCCGGCACCTAATATAGTTATAATATAATATACCCCAAAACCCTATTCTAACTATCAAGGTCCCTATATTACCATACACCGCAGGCCCTGAACCTCAAAGCCACAAGTCAAGTCCTCCTGCTCGGAGATAAGCCCGGGGCTGCTGGAGAATCCAAGTAATCAGCGGAATGCCTGGTGGCTGATGACCGTGATATGGGAAAATAGGGGGTACCGTATTTTGGGGCCCTTGTTATACGGAACCTATCATGCCAAGGTGCTATATTACGCTCTCGCAACTTGGACTTCGCCAGACGAGGTCTCTTGTGTCCAACTAGACAAAGCAACTAGGCTGCAGGCCGTTAGGGTCCCCTATTTTTGGAAACCCCATATCTTTCAATTTATGGCGCTCAGGGTTTAGAAGTATTGGGGGGGGTTTTGGGTTTGGGGTGTGGGGAGTAGATGTTTGAGGCAAGGGTTTGGGGCGCTGAAAGAAGGACTTGAAGCTTCTGGCTTGAAGACCTGAGGGCATTTGGACCTTTGCGGTGGCAGTGACTTAGGGAATCAGAAAACAAAAACATGCTAGCGACAAGTGTTCCGATGAGAGCCATGAAGCAGGTCGTCATGCTTGCAGAGGATGACTACCGTTTCCCCGCTCGAGAAGCCTTTTTGTGATAATAGATACGCTGACTGGTGATGCTGGCATGGCTGTAGTGACTACGATTGCGCCATGGACTCAAGTGCGGCTACTGTCGATATGCCAGCTACTGGTATGTTGCTAGCTGCGCGGCTACCATCGCGACTGCTGTTGCGGCCCGCGTTGCCATTTTAAACTGGGCAGACCCGCGGCTACCTACGCGAACGTTCTGCCTGTCTCATGCTACCACATACTATCCTTCTCACCCTCGTGACGATAGTCGTCTCTTACGTTGTTGCTACAAGCATCTTTTTCCGGGTCAATGTTACAACTATCCTCAAGGACTCTTGATAACATGTCCAGGCCCTACTAGCAGCAGGGTGCCCCTACGACTGGCACTCGTACGAAATACCATCATCATCGCTTCTGTTATTGTTGTTGTTACTGACACTGCTATTGATATTGGCTTTTGTTGCTGGATATTGTCATTGGGATTGGATTTTGGTTATTGGTGTTTGGTTATTTTTGTTATTTGCAATTGCTGTTTCTAGTGTTACTGTTAAGGTATTGTTTCAAGCGTTGTTTTTGTTATTGCTGTTGTCGTCGATACGTTGGCTGTCATTAGCTATTTCGGTTCGCGTTTCTTATTATAAGAAGTAATGTAATATGTATATTGCATGTATACATGTGTATATATGTACACACGCAGTTAACAAGCCGTCAAAGCTGCAGGAGCGGATGATCATGTTGGCGGACACCGGGAGCAAGCTCAGGCTGAGGTTGTTCAGACCTGGTGACGCATTGGCAAGCAACTGGTTTTGGGGTTTAGACTCTCTCAACTCGGACTTGAGGCTGAGCGTGTGTTTAGGGTTTAGGCCAGACCCTATATAAACCTTGGGCCTGAGAACAAAATCTCTGAAGCAGTTTCGGGCCGTTCTGCACAGAGTTCGGAGAATTATTTGCTGAACCGTGCCTTGAAGGTGATGGCTGGCTTCGAAAGGAACCCAGCTCTTGCACAATAGCCCCCTGCCTGGGCCTAATCTAGACGACAATTGCGTTACCACCCCTAGAAAGAAAGGTTTAGGGTTTAGGGTTTAGGGTTTAGGGTTTAGGGTTTATCTAGACGACCATTTTCGTCCTTGAAGCCATCGCGAACGCCTCGTAAAGCCCTAGGCCCCACGGGTCCCCACCAAGAGGAGCTTCCGGCTGCAGGCTTGCTGGAACCACGGTTGATGATATAAATCCTGCAGTACCTATGATAAGGAAAAAACCATAGTTCCCGTAGGTTAGGGTCCTTAGGGTAATGCAGGATATCTATCATCAACAGTATGAGGGCGTGAACTCGACCTTCTTGAAGACCCCTCACATAGCCTTACATCCTGTGTGCTCCTGAACCCAGAACTACCAGAAAAGCAACTACGTGTGTGCGGTGTAAGGGTCTTTGGAGGCGCCGGTGACCCACAAGCTCTCGATGCTCCATCCAAACTCCGAAACAAGTAATTTTGGCAGAAAGCTTTGCAGTGGAGGCGGAACTTGCGGCACCAGTACTACCAGTCCACTGACAACACATCGAATCTTACGCCGCAGAGCGGGAGGGCCACAAGCCAGCAAATCTGCACACTGTCTGCACAAAACGCAGGAAGCCCCCCTGATGAATGAGCTTCACAAATAAAGTAAACTCGGTGAGTACGTTTAGGAATTCTGCTTCGTGCTACAGCCAAAACAAACCCAAACAGCATGCACTCCCTGGCCGGCAAAAGCCCGGAAAGCACGAAAGTCAACAGCCAGCAGCCGAGTGAGGGGCCAATGTTCGCTGCGAAGGCCACGGAGATAATCAAGACGCAGCCCACCTCCTTTGCAGAGGAAGGTGCTTTGTCAAGGCGCGTGCTTGCTGGAATTCTGCCCTACTTCCAGCCGTCGTCGCCACCGATATCGTCGTCGTCGTCGACGTGGAAGCAGCAGCGTTGCGGCTGCTGTTGCTGTTGTTGCTGCTGCTGCTGCTGCAAGTTTGCACAGGTTGCTGCTTCTTCTGCCGCTTGGTGCTTCTGCTGCTGCCGCTGCTGCCGTTCCTGCTGCGGCAATGGCAGCGGAGAAGATGACTTCCATGGGTGCCATCACTCTCTCACCACCTATTACCTGCTAAGCTGCTACACACTACCGATTCGAACGATGACTGATATGTCTATCTTATACGCACCTTGTCCCTGTACCGGCCGGATGAGACTCCAAGAGGACCCCATGCTGTTGACTCTGGTTTCAGGGAGTAGAGCTTCTGATACGCTTGATGACAGCTGGAGTGCGAGACGAACTGAAGCAACTAAAGCCTTTACCAAGCCTAAACCCGAATCCAGAAACAAACAATTGACAATCCTAAACGCCTAATCCTTCGACCCCTCTTATAGAACCCTTATGGCAACCCCTTACACAACCCCTTAAAGGAGCCCTTCAAGGAACCCCTAAACCCTAAAC